TTATTTATTTGCTTATATTTATACATAATCGGCTAATTGTCTGATCTATCCATCAATCTAATTGAATATAAATAATTTATTTATTTATTTATATATTTATATATTTATATATATATATTTATTTATTTATAGGTAGACGTCGCACACCCTGCAGCGAAGTCTTTGATAGAATTATCGAGGAGTCAAGATGAAGAAGTAGGCGACGGCAGCACTTCTGTTGTAGTTTTAGCTGGAGAGTTATTGTCTTGTTCTTTAGATTTATTAGAGAAGCAGCAGCTACATCCTGTGATAATTGTTCAAGGGTTTATGAGAGCTCTGGGAGATGCTTTAGATTTTCTTCAAGATATTTCCAGCTGTATAGACACCTCAGATTATAACCAACTTATGAACGCATTAACTGCTTGCTTAAGCTCAAAGTTCGCAAGCAGATGGGGGGGCCTTCTTGAAGATATTGCAGTTAAAACTGTTAAAAAAATTCAGAGAACGCTTCCTTCAGGAAAGATTGATATCGATATCAAGTAATGAAACCCTAAACCCTAAACCCTAAACCCTAAACCCTAAGCTTTAAACCATTAAACCATTAAACCCTTAACCCTAACCCATAAATTCAAACCCTCAACCTCTAAACCCTAAATTCTAAATACTAAATCCTAGCGCTTAAACCCTAAACCCTAACACCGAAAGCTTATCCTCTAACTCCTAAACCCTAAACCCCAAAGCTTAACCCTTAGATTCTAAACCCTAGCTCTTGAGATATTCTTGCATCTACAATATTTAGCTGAAGTATAATAATACAGAAGGAGACAGACAGCAAATATGTTTGAAGGGTCTTACAAATAGAGATAAATAGGAGAAGAGACAGGCGGAGATGGAGACAGAAGTTAATATATAAATACAAAAAGAAAGAGACAGAGAGATAAAGATAAAAAGCAGATATAACCAATATATATAATCATAAACAAGGAGACAAAAATAAAGATAAACACAAAAAGAAAGAGAGACAGAGAGACAGAAGAGAGAGACTTAAAAACAGAGAGACAGAAAGAAAGAGAAAGAGATAGACAGAGACAGAGGCATATATATATATATATTATATACATTATATATATACATGTACATATATATATATATGTATATTATATATATATATGCATGTATATATATATATATATATATACAGAGAGAGAGACAGTTGTAGAGATGCAGAGTAAGACAGAGCCGAGGAGACAGATAGGTGTATATTGTGTCTCCTTTTGGTGTTTAGGAGATATGCAAAAGTAGAGAAAGTCCCCGGAGGAGAGATAGAAGACAGCTGCATGTTAGATGGTTTGATGCTAAATAAAGATGTTACACATCCGAAGATGAAGAGGCTGATCCACAACCCAAAGGTATTGTCGTCTGTCTCCTTTCTTCTTCTGTCTCCTTTGCTCTTCTGTCTCTTCTGTCTCCTTTGCTCTTCTGTCTCTTCTGTCTCCTTTGCTTTTGTCTCTCTTCTGTCTCCTTTGCTCATTTGTCTCTTCTGTCTCCTCTTTTTGTGTCTCCTTGCCCTTTTTACCTCACAGTCCAGAGATATGTATGCAAATATATATATATATATATATATATATACTTATATGTAGATATATACGTCTAGATGCATACATATATATATATGTCTCTATCTCTATCTATCTATCTATCTATCTATCTATCTATCTATCTATCTATCTATCTATCTATTTACATACATATATATATGTATATATCTATATCTATATCTATATATCTATATCTATATCTATATCTATATATCTATATCTATATCTATATCTATATTGCTATGTGTATAGGTGCTGTTGCTGGACTGTCCTTTGGAGTATAAGAAGGGGGAGAGTCAGACGAGTGTAGAAGTAACGAAAGAAGAAGAATGGTCTCAGTTGTTAGAGCAAGAAGAAAGAGAAGTAGAGTGTATGTGCAGTTATATAATAAACAGCGGTGCGACGCTGGTAATAACAGAGAAGGGTGTCTCTGACCTTGCGCAGCATTTCCTAGCTAAAGCAGGTATTAGCGTCATCAGAAGAGTCCGCAAGACAGACAATAATCGCATCAGCAGAGCTACAGGAGCTACTATCGTCTCAAGACCTGAAGAAATACTTCAAAGTGATTTAGGAACCCATTGCAAACTCTTCCAAGTTAAAAAAATCGGTATGCTTATTAATTAATTAATTAATTAATTAATTAATTAATTAATTAATTAATTAATTAATTAATTAATTAATTGTTTATTTCTTTTACAATCAAACTTACTCGTTTCTTATTCAATCATTCATTAGTTAATTAATTTATTGTATTCAAAATAGTATATTAAATGTATATATATATATATATGTTTGTATATACACATATATATGCATATGTATATGTATACATTAATCTATATATATATATATATATATATTATATATGAGAGAGTGCATGCATTAGTTATTTTGTTTATTTTTGTGTTTTGTTTGTTTGCATGCAGGGGATGAATACTTTAGCTTTTTGTTGGATTGCAAAGAAGGAACTGCATGCACCATTTTGCTCAGAGGAGGCAGCAAAGATGTTCTCAATGAAGTTGAGAGGTATGTCTTTACTTTATACACCCCGCCTTCTTCAGGTGTACGTACACCTCAAACTCTTCTTTTATATACTCAGACTTCTTCAGATGTATGTATGATGTACATCCCAATGTCTATATATACATATATATGTAAATATATATATATATATATAGACATCAGAGTCTTCTGGTGTATATAATGTAAATACCCTGCATCCTTTTCAAAGATGCTGCATGCAAGCACATGCATGCAAATGCATGCATGCATGCAAATGCATGCATGCAAATGCATGCATGCAAATGCATGCATGCAAATGCATGCATTGATTAGTTTGTATTAGTTTGTATTTGTTTTTATGCATGTTTAGAAATCTGCAAGACGCACTGAACGTCGCTCGCAACATTTTGCTCGAAGGCCGAATGGTGCCGGGAGGAGGGGCAGCAGAAATGGCTGTAGCAGCAAGGCTACACCGCAAAGCAAAAAGTACTCAACTATGCATGCATTTCTTTATTTGCATGCATGCAGTTGCATGCATGCATGCATTTGTTTATATGCATGCAGTTGCATTTGTTTATATGCATGCAGTTGCATTTGTTTATATGCGTCCATGCATGCATGCATGTATATGTTAATATGCGTACATGCATGTAGTTGTGTATATGCATGCATGCATGCATTTATCTAAGTGCATGCATGCATGCATGCATGCATGCAATTGTTCGTTGGTGTTGTCTGTTTGTTTCTTTTTTGTGTATGTGGGGGTCTCTGGTTGGTTGTTGCTGTCCCTTTATCTGTCTCTGTCTTAATCTGTCTCTTTCTTTATCTGTCTCTTTCTTTACATTCGTCTCTATCTGTCTCTACTTTTATCTGTCTCTGCCTTTTATTTGCGTTAGTTTCTCATGTTGTCTCTTTGTTTTTGTTTAATGCATTTTATTGCATGCATTATATTTTTAAATTTGTTTTTATTTTGCATGCACCTACTTTTTATTCTTTGTTTGTTTTATAAACACATTCCTATGCATGCATTATGCATGCAAAGCGTATACATGCATGCATATACCTTCATCTTATTCTTTCTGCTTTCTTTCTTTGTTTTACTCAGGTATTGACTCTGTACAACAATATGCATATAGGGCTGTCGCCTCAGCTTTGGAAGTGATACCCAGAACACTTGCACAAAACTGCGGGGCAAACGTCGGTACGCATGCAGCCCCAAACTTGCATGCATGCGCTCTTTTTGCATGCATTTATGCATGCATATAATCTATATATATATATATATATATATTTATTTATACATTTATATATTGTTTGTGATGCAGTTAAGGTGATGACAGACTTGCGAGCTAAGCACAGCAATTTGGAGTCTGCTGCTGCTGCATGCATCGGCGTCGACGGGGAGACAGGAGAAGTCTGCGATATGTCAAAGAAGATGATATGGGATTGCCTCGCTGTTAAACAGCAAATCTATAAAGCAGCAATTGAAGCAGTAAGACATGCATGCATGCATGCATGCATGCATGGATAAGTGTGTATATTACTGCATGCATTAATGTGTTCTGCATGCATGCATGCATGCATGCATGCATGCATGCATGCCTTAATGTTGAAGTACATCCAAAGGTGCATGCATGCATTTATGCTGCTGAAAGCGTGCAGAGTCAGTCTTCCCCAGTAGCGGTTGGGGGCTGCTGCTGCTGTTGCTGCATGCTGCTGCTGCATGATGCTGCTGTTGTTTGTGCATGCAGGCAGCAATGTTGCTGCGCATCGATGATGTATTGTCTGGCGTGCGTAAAGACGCAAAGGGAGGCCCAGAAGGAGGAGAGGGTGCACCAGAAGATATGGAGACATTCGGAGATGCACGCGACGGCTGAGCTACAGCAGCAGCAGCAGCTGCTGCTGCAGCAGCAGCAGCAGCAGCAGCTACAGACGTAGCTGCAGCAGTAGCTGCAGGAGTAGCTGCAGCAGTAGCTGCAACAGCAGCGGCTCCAGCAGCAGCTGCAACAGCAGCGGCAGCAGCTGCAGCAGCAGCAGCGGCGTTGTATATCCCTTTTGCAATTGTCTCTCTATTTTGTATTTTGTAGGACTGTCTCTTGATTTTAATTTAGTGGGGTGCAGCATCTCTTTTGTCTCTCAGGTGTACATGCAGCAACATAAAGCAAAAAGTTTTGTGTGCAGCTATTTAGAGTTAGGCGTTGCATGCTATTTGTCTCTATGTTTAGTTTTATCTCTTTGTTATTTATTTATTTATCTGTTGTTTGCTGTCTCTTTTTGATTAATTTGCTGTCTCCTCCTTTATTTATTTGTTGCATGCTGTCTCTTTGTTTAGTTTTGTCTCTTTGCTATTTGCTGTCTCCTTTCTGTTTGTTGTCTCCTTTTGGTTTGCTGTGTCTTTATTGTTATTTGTTTATTGTGTTGTTAGAAACGCATTCATAGAAATATATAATTATTAATTAGAGTCTCTAGTTGAGGTATATACCCTCAGCTGTACAGACAGCTCACCGCCCCACACGGAAAACAAAAGGCAGTGAAGGGAACCCAAAGCCCCAAATCAAACCGCATAAATGCATGCATGCACAGTACATGCATGCAAGCAGTTGGGGCTTTGGATGCCAAGCATTCGGAGGATATGTCTGTAGTTAAGATGCAGGTGAAAGAGATATGCGGCTGAAGACAATAACTCTATTAATGCTAATAACAATAACTGCGTTGGGGTGTACAGGCACCTACGCCAAGTGCTGCTGATCTGTTGCAGGCTGCTGCTACCTGAGATGCGGGGACAGCTGCAAGCCGTCGTTCTGTTGCTGCTGTCGCTGCTGTTGCTGCTGGTGCTGCTGTCGCTGCTGCTGCTGCAGAGTGTTGCGTGGTGCCTGCAGAGGCCGGCTGCCTGCAAGCGCCCCAATACAGCAGCAGCAGCAACTGTTGCTGCTGCTGCAGCTGCTGCTGCAACATTTGTTGCTACTGCAGCTGCTGTTGCACCTGTTGTTGCTGCTGGAATTGTCGTTGCTGCTGCTGTAGCTGCTGGTGTTATTGAAAGGGTTCAGCAGGCGCTGCTGCTGCTGCAGCTACTACTTTTGCTGCTGCTGCTGCTGCTGCTGCTGATTAAGGAGTAGAAGGAGCTGCAGCAAGTAAAGTATTGATCTCGCTCAGGGAGATCTCTGTATCACACTGAGGGCCTGGAGACAGATGGTTTAGAGACAGCGTCTCCGTTGCAAAGTTATACAGAGCCCCGCTGAGGACAGAGAGACACTTAGACAGAGGGTGTTCGTACACCGCGCCCCTGCTGCTGCTGCTGCCGCTACTGCTGCTGCTGCTGCTGCTGCTGCCGCTGCTGCAGGCGTTCCTGTATTCTTCAGAATCCATAGAAGCGGGGTGAGGCAAATACTGAGCAGCAGCAACAGGAACAGAGACACATCAGCAGAACAAAGCCTTCGCATGCAGCTGCAGCTGCTGCTGCTGAGGTGAAGAGACACTTCAAAAGACAACAACAAGCGAGCACCAACGGGAGACAACAGCTGCAGGAGACAGACAATTCTAGGGGACAGACGCCCAAAAAACAGAGACAGATGCTGCTGCTGCTGCTGCTACACTGGGCTTCGTTTAGCGGTGCTTATTAGCAGAGACAAAAGAAAAAAGAGAGTACGCATGCAGCAGCAGCAGCAGCAGCAGAAGGGACACCATCAGCAACACTTGCAGCAGCAGCAACATTAGTAGCAGCAGCAGCAGCAGCAACACCAAAAGCCACAGCAGCAGCAGCAGCATAACTGAAATGAGCTTGTTTCACTATAGCAAGCAGCAGCAGCAAACAAGCAGCAAGAGAGAGACAAATAAAAAAAGGAGACACTAAAAGAAATCAAGCAGAAACCAAACAACGGAGACAGCTGAGGAGACAGTAAATGCGGGCCGCACGCCGCCCTCTAAACCCTAAACCCTAAACCCTAAACCCTTACTAGGAAGCCAAAGAAGACGCCGTCATGCCCGTAGAGGTCAAGGATGTCTCTAACAGACATAGTAAAGGGTAGGCGATGAAGAACTGAGCCTTGACGTGTCTCCTTTTCTGTCTCTTCTTCTGTCTCCTTTTCTATGTAATCTGCTGTCTCTTGCTTGTCTGTCTCCTTGTCTGTTTGCTGCTGTGTCTCTTTGCCTGTCTCTTTATCTGTGTCTTTGTTTGCTTCTTTGTTTGCTTCCTGGCTTGTCTCTTGTGCTGTCTCCTCTGTTGTCTCCTCTGCTGTCTCTCTGTATATCTTGATGTCTCTTTCTATGGAGACACTAGACGCCCTGCTGCTGCGGCCCCTGTCTCTGTCGCCTGCTGCATGCGTTTGAACTACATATAATCCCAATGCTTTCTCAGTAAGACCCTCAGGCAAGACAATTGCTGCAGTGCTTTCTGCAGCTTCTGCTGCTCTTACTGCTGCTGTTGCTGCTGTTGCTGTTGTTGCTGCTGCCGCTGCTGCTGCTGCTGCTGCTGCTGGCTTTCCACCGCCACCCTCTTCATTAACATCATCATCATCATCATCCTCATCGTCATCATCATCATCATCATCAGCAGCAGCAGCAGCAGCTGCTGCTGCAGCAGCAGCAGCAGCTGCTGCAGCAGCAGCACGAGCAGCAGCAGGAACAGCTGCAGCAGCAGGTTTAGCAGGAGGAGGAGGAGGAGGAGGCGGAGTAGCAGGCGATGGCTTCTGCATGTCTATATTAAGTGTCTCCTTTGTCTTAAGAAGATTATCGCGCTTAAATGCTGTAATTAATGAAAACAAAAGTTTATAAACAGATGTCTCAGGGGGGATGTTCTCTACAACAAGCGCTCCAGACGAAGGCCCAGGCCAAGGACAGTCTATGCCTTCAGAAGGCGGCAAACCCAAGTCTAAACGAAGCTGCACGCACAAACCCTAAACCCTAAACCCTAAACCCTAAACCCCAACCCCTAAACCCCAAATTATATATATATAATATATATAAGAGTTGGATTGATAGATGAAAACAGATAAAAAAACACACACAAATAAATTGTCATCACGCGCTACAGACCAAGCATAAAAACCCTAAACCCTAAACCCTAAACCCTTATTGCTCGTGTAACCTCGCAGGCTTCATACGAAATATGCAACATATATGCTGTAAATAAATATATATACAAATATATATAAACATATTTATTTATATATAATATATATACATCCACGTAGATGTGCATACATACATATCTGCATATACATACATATATATACATATATATATATAGGGTTTAGGGTTTAGGGTTTGGCTGAGTTTAATTTAAATTGTTTGCCTACTGAAATGGTAGCTCCTATCATGTTGAGTACGGGCTTCCTTCTGAAGAGGAGACAGCGCTGATTAAGTGCTTTGATAATTTTTTTGTAGTCTCCTTGAGTACAGGTATTTGATAAAGAAATATCAGGGCTGACGCCTGCACTTATTACAAAGTGGGCTCCTCTTGTTACATTAAGCTTCTCTACAGCCCCTCGCATAGGTAGAGAAGGAGACAGACGAGTAAGGTTTGTCTCTGGTGTCTGTCTCTCTTGAGCCCAAGGAGAGACAGGGAGACGGGAGGGACGAGGAGACTGCATTAAAGGTGAGGAGACATTGCGAGGCTCGGCAATAAAAAGCGAAAAGAGATGCAATAATTTGGGGTGTCTCTGCACCTCTGCATTGCACTGAGGTACAAGGAGACCCTGAATAAACTGTGCTACAGGGAGACGTGAACGAACGTTAGAGACAGTTTGCTGCTTTCTCGCAAAGGGGGCTTTGAAGACTTCAATCGGCAGCAGAACTACTTGTGCTGCTAGTCTTTGCTGCAGCCAAGCAACAACCTGATGGGTGCTGCTGCTAGGAGGAGACACCTGAGTTTGCTGCTGAAGGACATGTCTTTCATTAGCTGGATTATCATTATTAAAGACAAATAATAATACATCTCTTTGTTCTCTTTCATCTGCCTGTCCCTTAAGAATATGATGCGCAAGTCTATCTACTATTTTATTATTTTTCTTCTTAAACGGAGCCTTATATAATATGCCTCTAATAGCTTCTTTACTTTTACGTGTAACAGCACCCCACACCCCTCTTAAAGTAGTTCCCAAGACACCTAAACCAGTAGCAACAGCAGCAGCAAGACCTAAAGATGATAAGACGCTGCCGGTAATAATACTTGCTTGCTGAGGAAGAGACAGAGACCCTAATGCTTCAGGTGTCTCATAGTAACGACCGTCTCCTGCAAAGTAAGCCCCAGGAGGAGACTGCCCAAAGACTCCGCTCACCCAAGGCTCGTTGCTCCGAGCCAAACTACCCGCGTACCTAAATTCAAACAATCAAACATATCTATAGAAAGGAGACACTTATATCAAGGATATATATCTAGAAAGGAGACACTTAGATAAAGGAGATATATCTATAGAAAGGAGACACGTA